CATTCATAAAGGGAGCATGAACAGATGTTCAAAAATGAGAATTTATTTGAATATACTGGAAACCACAGCAAATTTTGTAATTTGATTAATTGGTAAGAAGAATTAGGAATGTTAAAATCTATTTTCAAATTCTCTAAATTATATTTATAGCTTTGCTCATCTGAATCAAAATGTTTTGCATTATTAATATTTTTGCCATTGAAGAAAATCATAAATCGAATTTCTCAATAATAAAGTGCTAAAATTGACTATTTCATTTTTATTACAATTTTTAGGATGAGGATATAAAATCCTTTGTATTTAATGTAACAATTACACATACACACATATATTATATACCAATAGATGAGGAATGAATCTATTCATAAACTAACATAAAAGATTTCCAAGAATCCAACATACAAAGCTCTGTAACATTTGAGGGAGAATTCCCAAGTGACCCAAATGGCTAATGCACTAAGCTGTTAGCTAAAAGGTTGACGTGAGTGTCCCCAGAATTGCCTTACCCCAGAAGCAAGTCCGAAAGATCTACTCCTGAAAAAAATCAGTCATTGAACACACACTGGATTCCAGTTTTACCCTCAATCTATTCCAGGACTACTGTTTTGTTAGTACTGCTGCTCTTGTTGCTGTTGTTAGTGGTTTAACATTTGAATTGGAGAGAGAAGATATAAAATCTGCTACAATGGAATAACCTAAGTAGGTAGTGATTAAAGACAGCTACTAGGCAATATAATAAAACCACCATTCTTCTTTACCATATTCCTTTAAAAAATCATTCTAAGTAATTTTAAAATGTGAAAATACTGAATGAGACCAACTTATTAAAATTACTGTATTGCACAAAGCGCATTTAGGGTCAATAGCCTAATATAGCTTCTATTTCAGTAGATACCACTAAGTTCACCAAGATAAACATATTTTGCATAATCCTGTAAAATATCATATTATAATGATAAGCAATTTTTAGGATAGTATTTTTTTGTGTTCTGTTATTTTTTGCCTGACTTAAATTCTTTTATCTTTGCCATTGACAATTGTTCTCCTTTTCTTCATGGCCATGCTGAATTAATATTGTTGCTCTACCGCTGTATACAAACTGACTAATTATAGTAAGCCCCACAGGGTCAAAGAAGAGACCAAAACACTATCAATTGAAACTAACATTTGGATAAAAACTTGTCTTTTCATTTTCTTTGGACTCACAAGATGTAGGATTTTTTTTTGTGGGTTCAAATAGCCAAGAACTTTAATTTCTTTTTTTCCCCTGCTCCAATTTTATTATTTGTTAATCATTTTATTATTATATTATTATTAGGGGCTCATACAACTCATCACAATCCATACTTACAACAATTGTGTAAAGCAAATTTGTACATTCATTGCCCTCATCATTCTCAAAACATTTGTTCTCCACTTAAGCCCCTGGCATCAGCTCCTCAATTTTTCCCCTCCCTCCTAGCTCCCCCCTCCCTCATGAACCCTTGATAATTTATAAATTATTATTTTGTCATTTCTTGCCCTGTCCGATGTCTCCCTTCACTCACTTTTCTGTTGTCTGTAATCCTTGTAATCGGTTCCCCCTTTCCAACCTACTCTCCCTCTATGCTCCCAGTATTGCCACTCACACCACTGGTTCTGAAGGGATCATCTGTCCTGGATTCCCTGTGTTTCCAGTTCCTATCTGTACCAGTGTACATCCTCTAGTCTAGCCAGACTTGCAAGGTAGAATTGGGATCATGATAGTGGGGAGGGAGGGAAGCATTTAGGAACTAGAGGAAAGTTGTAGTTTTCCCTTTCTTCTTTGACGTGCTTGAGCTGGTTCACTTGCAAATGAAAGTGCCTGACTAATGTAGTAATTTAAGTTCTACATGAGATCACCATGAGTCAGAATCTATTCCGTGGCAACTAACAAGTATAATGATTAAAAAAATATCTTTCCTACATATTCGATTTGCAAAGCCCCAGAAAGGGAATTAATAATGTACAATTAACAAATGACATTATAATGTTTTACTTGATGCACACATTAAATCATCTTCCTCCACGCAATGATTTTATAAAGCAACGGTTGTAGTCAGGGCACTTGAGAAGCATCGAGGTTAAGTTTCACAACATAACTGTGGTCTCCGAATTGAGCATGCTGCCTTTCCCTCACTGTTCAAGTTCATTGTTGGTATTTATGATGTAGAAGTATAGAAACCAAAATTTACTCTGTATATTATGTTAACGCCCAGGGAATATCCCAATAGATTTTCTTGGTCTTTGCCTAATTAATGTAATTGCTGCATCATAAAACTTGACATAATCAAAATCATCACATGTCACTATATTTTGTTTTCTAAAAATTATATGCCAGTTTCATAATATTGATTTTTATTATTTTGTAAAGGATTGAAGCTGTGCAAAAACACTATATTTTACTTTATTATTTTTTTTAGATCAATCATTCTGGTAATAAATATTTTTACAAGCCACAATTATTAACATCATTGTTTTCCATTGATGTTTTTAAGCAATATCTCATCTCTGCAGAGTGCATAAAATAATATGAACAAAACTGCAAAAGATTGATATCACACATATTCTGATAACTCAAAATATATAGACAGTTTGTCTCAACTACTACTAGAAAAACAAGCCACACCCAATGCTCCTCTAAATTATTTTTTTAATATATAGAGAAAAATAAAATTGCCAATATACAGGATTCATAAGATGCTAAACCAGTTGTCATCAAATTAATCCCAACTGATGGCAACCCATTATGTATGAGGGAAACCGTGTTCTATAGGACTTTCAACGGCTATGTCAGAAACACTTTACCAGGATTTTCCTCTGAAGAGCGTCTAGCTGAATTTCAAAAGCCGTAGTTTCTCTTAGTATTCAACTGTGTTAACCATTTGTACCACCCAGGGACACATAAAAATTTTAAGGCACACAGAAAAGGGCAAGATTGTTGACAAGTGAGAGACATCTTTTGTAGCCCAGAAGCTACTTGAAAGCAAGAATGCTCTTGACTGTTCTAGAGCTGACAGTCAGGAAACAATTGTGAAAGTCTTTTACAGTATATGGTTTCAGAGTGCCTCTGGAGCTGTAAAGGGTTTGATAACATTGTCCACATTTCAGTCTCTGGGAGAGTGTATACAGGGGAAATGTTGGTGATCAAACAAAACAGTCTGTTCACAAATGGCAAATCCTAAGATCCACACTGGGAGAAGTGAATGACCCATCACTGCTTACCTTGCTACAGGACTGGGTTTTGAAATTTAGGTAAGGCAAAGAGCATTGCTACCAGACCATACAAATCCTTTATTAAACAAAAATACAAAAATGGGAAGTTATTCCTTTTCGATTTATCTTCCATATGGGTCTACACTTCTCTGAAGGCAGTGTTTCCGGCTCTCTAACTTATTCTCCAGACAATTCTGGGGAATTAGACCACTTCAAAATGGTCATTTTAGCATCTTCAAGGCACTCAAATTATGTTGTTTTAAATCCTATAATGTTTGCAAGCAAAAATAAATTTGCAGGGGAAAGATTGGGCTTGTAGGATGGACAAGATTCTCATCGGACCGCCCAGGCTGTTCTCAAACAAATAGGCACTTCTTCATGCTGGGGAAACCAAATAGTCCGGAGGCCAATCAACTTTCTTGGCTTTTTCTCCTTCACCAGTCAGGTTTCCTTCATAAGCCCCCATGATTGTCCTGTGATTTTTGAGAAAAATTGTCTAGATTACTCTTTTGGAATTACGAAAAAAAAAGAAAAGGTCACCAATCTGACCTTTCGCCTTGAATTTAACTGGCCCAGTAGATCGAGAAACAACTGTTTGAATAGATATATTATTTGAAGGAGCCCAAAGGTTCCTTGACAAGAGAATTACTAAAATAATTTGTCTGCAGTCATAGACTAATAAAAGAGAGTAATAAATATATCGTGTTTGGAATAAACCTGTACGTGTGTGAATTGGAACCCTAGTATGAAGTTCATTTTGATTTCCCATCATAGGTCATGGAATCAATTGTTTACGTCTACTGTACTTCTTGATATTAAAACATTACTGATGTAAATAAAATCAAAATCTTCACAACTGAACCAAAAAGCATTATGCTAAATGAAGAAAGGGCTGACATCATCAAGGATTTCATCATACTTGCAGGCAAAATCAGTGCTCATGGAAGCAGCAGCGAAGAGACCAAAAGATGAGTTTTATTAGTAAATCTGCTGCAAAGCCCTCTTTAGTGAATCGAAAAGCGACTATATTACTTTGAGGACTAAGGTGCCTCTGACCCAAGTCACGGTGTTTTCAACATCCTCATAAGGAAGACTGCAGAGGATTTGATGCACTTGAACTGTGGTGCTGGAGAAGAACATTGAAAGTGCATGGCCTGCTGAATGCCTAAACCATCTGTCTTGGATTAAGTAAGACACCAGAGTGCTCCTGAAAGGCAAGGACCAGAAGACTTTGATTTACAGATTTTGGACATGTAGGTGAGAGATCTATTCCTTGAGAAGGACATCATGCTTGGCAGAGTGGATGGGAATTGAAAAAGAGGAAGGCCCTCACAAAATAGAAGGACAACATGGCCGCAACAATTGTGAGGGTAGTGCTGGACGGGGCAGTGCTTCGTTCTGTTGTGGGTAGGGTCACTAAGGGTTGTAGCGGCCTCAATGGCACCTAACAACAGCAATCTAAATAAATGGAGATTAGTTCAGCTGTGTGGTAAATAGTGACTGGGCTGCATCTATAGGTAGAGATGGCAACTTGTCAATTAATTGCTAATTTTAAGAGTAATGCCCCAATATCTGACATTTTATTTCCAAGTCAATCAAAGTTTGGTCAGTGGTAAAGAATTACTTGGCTCCTATACATGGCTCCAGCCTTCATACATTGAAAAATATTTTTTAGGCTCAAACTCATTTGCATTGAGTCAATAATAAGTAAATGGATGGATTAGTGAAACGATAGTTATTTTTAGTTGATAAAAACATTTATGAACCTTTGAATTCCACGTGGATTCCACTGTCAAGTAGCAGCTCACCATAAGGACCACCAAAATGATCGTGAGTAGATCTAAGCTTCCATCTTTTTAATAATTTTCAAACCTAGATTACAAAAAATGAGAATATATTCCATAATACCATGCTAAATATAAAATGAGATTATGAAAAAATATTTCTAGAACTCCTTAGCACTGATTAAATATTTTAGGCTATGCCTCACCTCAACTTTTAGGCTAATAAAACATATACACATATACTTTTTATAGATAGAGGTACTCCTTACAGATATGCGTGTCTTATAAGTAAGTAAACAAAGAGTTGAAATTAAGATAATGTTATCTTTCACACTTGCCATTAAATAGTTCTCTTACATATCATCATTTTGTTCTTCCAGCAATACTCCAATTATTTAAAATATTTTAAATCAAACACTTGAAAACAGGAAATGAACTAGAACTTACAAGATGATTAAAACAGAAGAGAATCCCTGTTATAGTACGAAAAATGTCTTGAAAAAATGTATAATCTCTCAGCCTCATGTATGTACGATGCATGTTTGTTTTCAGTCAACACACTAGGTGGCCCTCACTGGGGCAAAACCTATAGAAAGAAAGCACATTCCCTTTAAACATCAGATGTAATTCTCTGAGATCCTGTTAATCATTTTTTTCCTCTCTAATTGAAAAAGTCACCACATACATTAGAGTACAAATTTCATTATTCTAGAAAGAATCTTAAAAGTTGACATTTCTTTGAACAATTGTTTGAGCAATCCTTTTTAAGTACATTTTCATTTTCTGGCATGGCTTGAATTGAATTCTAAATTTTCTGCTGCTTGTCCACTAAGCCCCTCTGGTGAATTTAAATAGGCTTCCCTATATATTTAGTACTTTCAAGAATTCTTTGTCACAGTGCCTACCCTGCTTTATTATTAGAGGGTTGCCTCGGAAGTCTAGCAGCCAGTTTGTTTTCTGCCATTAATAAAGAGTCTACTTCCACCCCCCACCCCCCACACCTCTTTGAAGAAGTTGAAAAGACTCCATGTTGGGTGGGGTGGAGGGGGGTGGGGCAAGAAGAGAGAGAGAGAAGTGAAGGGAACCAACCGACTGGTGTAATCCCCCAACAAAAAATGTTGTTTAATGTAGAAACCTCCCTGAGGTTTACAAATTCACTGGCTGGGCTTTGAGTGTGCTGAATAAGAGAGAAATAACTGAACCAGAGATTGGCTCCTTTCTTCCCCCAAAGATTAGGCGGTCTAATATGAGAAAGATACTACATCTAAAAAGTTCTACAAAACCAAATCTTTCAGTTGGCTTATTGTACAATACTACTATTATTTCTTTCTGAAGGTGTTCTGAAAGGGGCAGATGACAAAGCAAACTGGAACTTTCTCATCATTCACATACTATTACTAGAAAACAACCTAGAAGGATTTCAAGAAAGACCTACCTATTTGGTTGTACAAAATACTGGTATGGACCCTCGGCCTAGGGAAATCTAATTCAAAGTCAAGGAAAGATGGTCACTTGAAGGTCAGGAATCCTTGGATACCTACTGACAAAGAGGAGAAAGCTGAAATATCTTGGAAAAGATGATTGGTCAAATGGGCCTGCATTAGGCCAAAGAACTCAAAATAGAAACAAATTAAAAAGCTGCCTCTCACCAAACACCTGCCTCCCTCGACAAAGAAAGAAACACATTAAACCTCATCAGGCCATGATGGAATGCAGGACTTATTCTTATTTAGCTGATCTAACCTGACTGTCCATGATTGTTTCTACATATATTTTTTGTAGTTTAGGATTTATGAAGCTAACAAACATAAAATTCACAAAGCTTATGTCAACAAGATTTCAATTGATCAGAATTCTTAAACTTTAAATTTGCTTTAAGATATGCATGAAATTAGCTGAATGACTACATAAAGCTAACTTATTTCATCATAAATTTACTTAATTACCTTTAAATTTTTACCTGCTTTCAAGCTGCCGCAAGTAAAATCTGCACATACCATGCAGAGTGATGGAAAATAACAGCATTCAATGAGAGCTGAAGGCACCTCATTGAAGAAATGCTGTGGTTGATTTTCTGTAGATGTTATTTTTTTAAGTGACTTTGAGTAAGAATTCTTAAAAACAAGGACAAATAGAACAAAGTTAATACCTATTTGTTTGGGGCTTCTGATATTTAGGAAACCTAAACATATAGATGGCACATAGACACTTAAAAGCCCTTTCTACTTAATGAATATACTGTATAGTCACAGTTACCCGAACAATTTCATATTCCCCAACTCTACATATGTCCAGATTTATAAAACAACAACTTCTCTCCATTAGAAACTTTTACTTTTCTAAATGCAGTCACCAAGGGATCAATGGAATTTGAGTTCTTAAATGTCCAATAATAAATTAAACTATATTTTAAGCAATCAAAATGATGCATGTGTTTGCCGCCCACAGATATATAGAGTGCTAGACACATGCAAATGGAAAGAAATTTGGGGCAGAAGGTAACTCTTTATGTACTGTTTTCTCAAAACCAACCCATACAAGGAAGTTTATAAAACCATTTCCATATTTACCAGGTGAATTGGGCCCAATCTAGGCATATGTAGCAGAATGTCCATTTGTAGAAGAGTTTAGGGTAGAATATGCACTTCTCTAATTTAATTAGTAATAAGCTCGTAATATAATTTCCTTGACATACCTATCCTCTCCTAGACATTGCTAATGCAATCTAATGCTTAAGTGATTTAAGATATGTCTAGGCCTCCAGTAGTTTTACTGGAGTACTAAAGTGTTAAGGACTTCTATACAGAGAAAGATATTGATCCCACAAACCCTGAAATAAAATATAATCATATTTAGATTTGGCAAAATTCCAGAAGTGGCTTCCTTGGTGAATCCTAAAAAAGCTTTTTTTTTTTTTTAAATACCATTTTGAAGAATTGATGTTTTCCTTCCAGAGATTAAAAGTTAAAAGTACGAGCATCACAATAATAATAAAGCAATTCAAAAAGACAAAATGAAAGCTATTACTTTCTTGATCTTTGATAGATGTTTAATTTAAGGGATGGCCTTAAAATACAGTTTGTTGGGGGTGGCTAGTGACAGTAAACAATGTAAGAGAGAAAAAGAATCAAGCAGGGGTTAGCATATTCATGTAAAACAATGATTTGCTATTTTGAAATTAAAATGTACAAATAAGCTGGTGTCAGAGATGAGGTGATTCCTCATTTCCACCGCATTGAGCAAGCTCACATCGATAGCAGACAGCTTTTAATATATGCGTCTGGCTCAGGCTGGTCTCCCAACCAGGAAGCCTTGGAATTGTTAATATCACTGCTTTTTTGGTATGCAGCACACATCATTTTCTCGCTCTTTGTTGTAGATTGCTCCTTTTATTTTAAGCTTAGTATGATCTGATTTTCTAAATCATATTATATTGTCCCTAAACCTATTACCTTGGTATAGCAAAGATCGCAATGCAGAAGTGGCATTGTCTATGCTATCCAGCACAAAGTAGTTGATATAAACAGCCTCACCTACTTGTATCTCTACACACCTTTGTGGAGGCCAAGAAAAGGTCTATCATAATTGTTGGCACTAAAGATTTTTCATATACAGGATAATGGCAGAGAGACTTCAAAATGTATACTATCATGATTAAAAATATATTGTGTCTGTGTGGAAATATAAGTTCATTCTAAATTCAAAGTCAATATTTTTGTTATGATATACAAGTTAGCAGATAGTTTAGTTAATAAACATGTAAGCATGACAAGAAATTCATGTATTTGGAATAGCTTATATTAGGTATTGCTGCAGCCAACCAAACATTTATCCCTTTATTACTTTAAATGGAAGAAAATATCTTATATATATTCTTTATGATTTTGTGAAAACATATGCCAATCAATGTATACATATGTGTATAAATTATATAAGATAATTTCTGATCACGCTTATACTTTATTAAGTATAATAAAATTTCTGCATGCATGCAGACATATAATATACCTAGAAGAAACCATATTGAGAAGCTTGCACTTTTAAAAATCTTCAATAACTAAGAGGATGGGATTAAAGAAGTAAAAATGGACACAACACCAAATCTTTACTATTTACATTGCCTCCTTTCATTTAGAGATTTTAAAACATTCATATACATATACATACACTTAGCTTCAGAGATTCTAAATACATGGAGTATATGACATAAATAATGTGAATAAGTACAGCGTAGAGAACACACTACGCCTTTATAGAGGATAAATGTGCTTATGATTTTCTTATTTCTATTTTTTAGGAATAATATAACACATGGATAATTTGAATTAAATTCTAGGATATTTAGAGCATACCTAATTGTAACAAATTCAACAAGGTGGTTAGTTGACTACATATATTATTCTAAACTACCTATACATTTATTTAAACAATGCAAGAAGGCAAATGTATTATGTGGCACCCATGTAAGGTAATAGAGTAAATGAATGAAGTCACTTGTTTCTTCTATTATGAGAAGTCTCTTATCTCCATTTTGAATCTTTATGTGTATAACATTATTATAAAATGTTAGGTGGATGTGATACATTGACTCTATTTTAAATACATGTTTGATATAGCAATTGCTATAAATGTTCAAAGATGTCACATTAAATTTGTAAGGTATTTCTTATAAAGATTAAAAATCTTAGAAAATGAAAATTATGTTGTTAAGATGGCATTTATAGTTTTATCTCACATAGGTTTATAATATAGACAAAGTCAAATGTTAACACTAAAAAAGTATTATATTTTCCCAAATTATTAATGCCAACTCTCTCTTGACTTTACTGTTACAACAAGTGAATGTCAAACTACGTAAAGTGCTTTGTCTGTTTACAAGACCAGGAAAATCTATGGAAACAAATACCAACTTTAAAGCACCATTCTTCTTCAATCTGTAGCAATATGTATGAAGGTTAGTAAAGAAGATTGTAGATCTTTGCCTTTCTAGGCCTCAAGCATGATTATAGCTATATATTATAATACATTCTGAGCCACAGTCATATAAAGACATATAGATTATACTTAATTTGCTTATATGCATATTTCTTATACATATGCAAAAAGTTATGAATATAAACAATGTTTCATTAACTAATGAGACATTCTCTTATACTTGTCACTTTAAATAACAGAAGAGAAGCTTTTTAAAAACACTTTTAATTTTGCTTCTCATACAGGTACGTTGCATTGCTTTTATAGGACTGTTAAAATACAAAACAAATGCTATTTCAGTGCAGCTATGTAATCACTTTAGAGAGTACAGTTTCTGACAATAGTATTTTAGGGAGTGGGTCAGGGAGGAAACGTTACTGCTATAAAGCAAAGCATTGTTCCTTTCTCCTAGGCAGGATCTATGTAGGCTCTTTTGTTCTGATGGTAACTGCAGACAATCAATAAGGTCCAAAGCTGCTGGTTCCCCTCCGCCTAGGTCCCAAGAGCCTGACTTGTGATGTTACTAAAATACCTCACAAGTTAGGGTCTCAGGGACTAGGAAAAGTCTGGTTCGATGAGAAAGAATTCTTCTTCCAGTATTAAGAACAGCTTAGAAATTACAGTTGGGTTTCATTGAACTCTAATTATTAATCAAATTACATAAGTTGAAATATATATATGTATAAAAACTAGGATGAGCTGCATAATCATATCTATTTTAGGATTAATCACAGATCTTAAAACAACTAAGCATATAAGGAACAATGCAAACAATGAACAGTTAAGAGTCATTCCATTAGCTCCAAAGAAAGAGACTGAAAATGGGTTAAAACCTGTTTCGAGCACATTTGTACAGTATCACTGTAACCTCTATTACATTAAAGAAGGATTATATGCTGGCTAATGGGACCCTAATTGAAATATTGTTTCCCACCACTTTCTACACAGCACAACTGTTAAGGTGGGCCCCAGGACGGACATATAATGCTTCAAATCTGATTGAAATATACACCTTTGCAGTTCAAAAGAAAACAAGATAACAAACTTTTTGCATGTCATAATTTAATACCTCAGAAGCAGGCTTCTCCTCTTTGGGTCGCCAACCTATTCAGACAGGAAATATTCCCATGCATACTCTGCAGTTACTGGAGCCCCTTAATAAACATGTAACTTAAAGTGCAGGCACATCCTAAGAAAAAAGGATTCTGTTTCTTGAATATTTGCATTACAAAGCCCAGTACTTTTGATAGTACACAATCCCCATCCTGTATATTCACTGAATTTCCTCCAATCTCTTAGCCTTGTTTGTGGTTCGAGAACAGATTTTGTACTTTAGAAATGATCCAAGGTTTAGTCGCAAAGAACGCAAGGTAAAACAATCGGACCAGCCGTAACATAAAAGTCCTGACCAGAGAGGTGGAATCTGGTTCTTCTGAAGTGGTTGATCTTAAAAGGCAAAAGAGGAGGGGGAAAAATAAAACACGGAGAGCATTAGAATGTTTGCCTATCGAACAGGTGAATCAGCCATTTGCAGTGAGCTGCAAGGAAAGCAGTGGTGAACAGAATATTTGCTAACCGCACCCCCACCCTAGTACCACACCCCTTTCCAACCACGGCCCCCCCACCCGTCCAGATCTTTACGTTGCCTTAGAAGACTTTAAATATTCCGCTCCATGATGTAAGGCATCATTATATAAGAGCTCTTTCTGTTTATCATTTGATTTTTTCCCCTTACTGAATCAGTTAGAGCTTAAAACAGCAAATACTTCAAACCCAAAAAAGGCAACACTCAGAAAAAAAGCAAAATAATAAAACAGTCCTTAGATAAAAGTCC